TTGTACATAGATTAAAATTGAGTATTATGTTTGTTTTTGTAGTTGATGTTAGATTACATGATCCATTATGGGAAGGTGCAGTAACAAAATCTCGTGTAGCTATTGATGTTATGGTGCTTTGTACTCGTCTTGAACCATTGTGTCAAAAAGAACTTCAAGAGGTAAATAGTTTAATAATTATGTTTTCTTTCTGGTTAGTTTTACGTTATGCTGTGTTTGAGTGTGCTGGGAAATTTGTCTGATAATCTGATGTATATGTTGCTTTTTGTAATTACTGCAATAAAATACTTACAATACAAAATACACTTGTTTTTAATAGTCAAGTAAAGCAAGTGAAAGTGTTAGAAGGAAAAGAAAGTACAGTAATACCTTTGATGCCCAAGGTTAGTGTAATAGTTTTTTCGATGTTCATTAGCCAACAGTCTGATATTTAATAATAAGGACTATTTATTGAAACAATATGTAAAGTTATACTATGTTTTATTTGTCACAGCAATGGTTATCATGAATAAAATGATGGAATGTGTTCAAAATCTACCAAACCCAGCACCATCATTGCAGGTAAGAGTTGTCAATCTACCAAACCCAGCTCTGTCATTGCAGGTAAGAGTTGTCAATCTACCAAACCCAGCTCTGTCATTGCAGGTAAGAGTTGTCAATTTATCAAACCCAGCTCTGTCATTGCAGGTAAGAGTTGTCAATCTATCAAACCCAGCTCTGTCATTGCAGGTATGAGTTGTCAATGTACCAAACCCAGCTCTGTCATTGCAGGTAAGAGTTGTCAATCTACCAAACCCAGCTCTGTCATTGCAGGTGAGAGTTGTCAATCTACCAAACCCAGCACCGTCATTGCAGGTAAGAGTTGTCAATCTCTCAAACCCAGCTCTGTCGTTGCAGGTAAGAGTTGTCAATCTACCAAACCCAGCTCTGTCATTGCAGGTAAGAGTTGTCAATCTACCAAACCCACCTCTGTCATTGCAGGTAAGAGTTGTCAATCTACCAAACCCAGCTCTGTCATTGCAGGTGAGAGTTGTCAATGTACCAAACCCAGCACCGTCATTGCAGGTAAGAGTTGTCAATCTATCAAACCCTGCTCTGTCATTGCAGGTAAGAGTTGGCAATCTACCAAACCCAGCTCTGTCGTTGCAGGTAAGAGTTGTCAATCTACCAAACCCAGCTCTGTCATTGCAGGTAAAAGTTGTCAATCTACCAAACCCAGCTCTGTCATTGCAGGTAAGAGTTGTCAATCTACAAAACCCTGCTCTGTCATTGCAGGTAAAAGTTGTCAATGTACCAAACCCAGCTCTGTCATTGCTGGTAAGAGTTGTCAATCTATCAAACCCAGCTCTGTCATTGCAGGTAAGAGTTGTCAATCTACAAAACCCTGCTCTGTCATTGCAGGTAAGAGTTGTCAATCTATCAAACCCAGCTCTGTCATTGCTGGTAAGAGTTGTCAATCTATCAAACCCTGCTCTGTCATTCCAGGTAAGAGTTGTCAATCTCCCAAACCCAGCTCTGTGATCGTTTGTCAGTGTTTGTTTACAAACATTGTTCTTGTTAGCTTTTAGCACCTTCTACAATGGGTTATGCTAATCTCGAGCATTTGGTAATATTCGGAGCATGTTCGGAAGCGATAGTCAAACCTAGCATGTACAATATTGAAAATGGTGTCTAGTTTGAATGCTGTTGTTTCCGGAGATCTTGGCGAACTTTAATGGAAAATTGTCAGTCAGATATAACATTGATTGAAGAAGAACTGATGAAATATCGTGAATTTTGTTTTTGTAATGGTAATGAGACTTAATCATGATTGCTTGTGACGATTGCATTATTCAGTGCATGGGTTTGGCACCCGAAACTGTCAAAATTTTTGACCACCAGACATCGGCGAACACCAACAGAAAAGATAGTATCAAAAAAAGAGCATGCTTAGACACTTTCTCTGTGATAATATTTTTAGGAGTCCTTAGGAATTGTTGTAGGCACTCAAAATCCTGTTCTAGTTACAGTTGCTAATAATTAAAACATGTGAAATTTGTGAAGTCAAACGTTCATCTGTTGAATTTCAGGTTGTGAAATACGTATTTTGACCTTTCACACCTAAACAAACCCAGTGCGCATGTGTGATGACCGTAGTTTCAAAATGCGCATATATTTCATTGTCACATTAAAAAAATGGCGGGGTCATATCATACTCCGCTAACTCGTTACTTGTGTAAACAATCGCAAACGATCAACGACATCAAAGATGAGGTAGACAATGTCCTTATCATGATTAATTTGGGTTGAAACAAAAGGAAATAAGCCAATTAAGAGGCTTAAGTGGCTACTTGATAGACGTCGTGGCTCCTTCCGTTAGTACCTTCTATGGTCATACAGACAATTATCATTTAAATTTGGTACTTACATGGAATATAATGGGACCGTAGTCATTTTTCATATCGGATTTAAAATAGCTGAAGGACAGAAATTTTGTATTTAACAAATGCTGTTTTAAAACCATGTGTTTGACATGCCTTGACTGATTGCAATCAAACTTTACAACTACATTGTACATTGTGTTACACTTGTATGTTTTTGTTTTAAATTCTGGTTCAAAATGGCTGCTTCATTTCAGTGAAGTTTACTATTGAACATCAGGAACTCATGCCATGACACAATTTGTTGTTGTTTAGATTGAACTTTATTTATTCACTTCTTGTCTTACAACTAAAATTAATTTACATGTATTTTTACTTTTATAAATCTTAGGATTTTTTAGAAGAAACTGCTTTGTGTGTGTTATTCCCAAGAGTTGCATCATATGTGATGAGTCCTCACAACTTTATCTTCCAGTCACAGCAAAAGACACCAATGGATGGTATGTGAATATGGGCTTTATTGTTTTAAACATATTACTTGTAGATTACAGTACCTGGTTGTAAGTTACTGGACCTGGTTGTAGGTTACAGTGTCTGGTTGTAGGTTACAGTTTCTGGTTGTAGGTTAATGTTTCTGGTTGTCGGTTACTGTACCTTGTTGTAGGTTACTGTGCTTGGTAGGTTACAATTTCTGGTTGTAGGTTACTGTACCTTGTTGTAGGTTACTGAGCTTGGTGGATTACTGTGCTTGGTAGGTTACAGTATCTGGTTGTAGATTACAGTTTCTGGTTGTAAATTACAGTTTCTGATTGTAGGTTACTGTGCCTGGTTGTAGGTTACTGTGCTTTGTAGGTTACAGTATCTGGGTGTAGGTTACAGTTTCTGGTTGTAGGTTACTGTGCCTGGTCTGCGATTACGCTGCCTTGTTGTAGGTTTCTGTACCTGGTTGTAGATTACAGTTTCTGGTTTTAGGCTACATTGTCTGGTTGTAGGCTACATTGTCTGGTTGTAGGTTACAGTGTCTGATTTTAGGTTACTGTGTCTGGTTTGAGGTTACATTTTCTGGTTTTAGGATACATTGTCTGGTTGTAGATTACAGTGTCTGGTTGTAGGCTACAGTGTCTGGTTGTACATTTAGATTACTGTGTCTGGTTTTAGGTTACATTTTCTGGTTGTAGGTTACATTGTCTGGTTGTAGGTTACTGTACCTTGTTGTAGGTTACTGTCCTTGGTAGGTTACTGTGGTTTGTAGGTTACAGTGTCTGATTGTAAGTTACCGTGTCTAGTTGTAGGATACATTGTCTGGTTGTAAGTTACATTGTCTGGTTGAAAGTTACAGTGTCTGGTTGTAGGTCACGGTATCTATGGATGTAGATTACTACATGTACCGTAATAGATGTTTCTATATCTACCGTCAATGGTAGCATACAGTGTCTACAGTCATTGTATATCATATTCATGGTGTAGATTACACTATATAAACTGTTGTTCACTAGTTAATTTGATTTCTTGTAAATTTTAAATATAGTATTTTTGTTTTTTTCCAGACTATTTCAATCATGTTGCTACTTTGAATCAGTCTGTAGCACTATGCAATCTACTCAATACAGATGTGTATAATTTACATAATCATAAATACATTGCGCACCAGATAGCTTTACTTTATGTGAGTATTGTCATTTGCTACAAGGCAGTCAGAGGGAATGATTCAAAGCAATACCTTTCAAAGCCTCTTATATTAGCCTATTTTAGACTTTTATTCAAGACCCAGGGACCTTACTGTAAAGCATGACCCAGAAACCTCACTGTATCCATAACACACAAACCTCACTGTATCCATGACACAGGGACCTCACTGTATCCATGACACAGGGACCTCACTGTATCCATGACGCAGGGACCTCACTGTATCCATGACACAGGGACCTCACTGTATCCATGACACAGGGACCTCACTGTATCCATGACACAGGGACCTCACTGTATCCATGACACAGGGACCTCACTGTATCCACGACACAGGGACCTCACTGTATCCATGACACAGTGACCTCACTGAATCCATGATACAGGGACCTCACAGTATCCATGACACAGTGACCTCACTGTATTCATGACACAGTGACCTCACTGTATTCATGACACAGTGACCTCACTGTATCCATGACACAGTGACCTCACTGTATCCATGACACGGGTACCTCACTGTATCCATGACACGGGTACCTCACTGTATCCATGACACAGTGACCTCACTGTATCCGTGACACGGGGACCTCACTGGATCCGTGACACAGGGACCTCACTGTATCCACGACACAGTGACCTCACTGAATCCATGATACAGGGACCTCACAGTATCCATGACACAGTGACCTCACTGTATTCATGACACAGTGACCTCACTGTATCCATGACACAGTGACCTCACTGTATGCATGACACGGGTACCTCACTGTATCCATGACACAGTGACCTCACTGTATCCATGAGACGGGGACCTCACTGGATCCGTGACAAAGGGACCTCACTGGATCCATCACACAGGGATCTCACTGTATCCATCACACAGGGTCCTCACTGTATCCATGACACGGGGACCTCACTGTATCCATGACTCGGGGACCTCACTATATCCATGACACTGGGACCTCACTGTATCCATGACACGGGGACCTCACTGTATCCATGACACGGGGACCTCACTGTATCCATGACACGGGGACCTCACTGTATCCGTGACAAAGGGACCTCACTGTATCCATCACACAGGGACCTCACTGTATCCATCACACAGGGACCTCACTGTATCCATGACACAGGAACCTCACTGTATCCATCACACAGGGACCTCACTGTATCCATGACATGGGGACCACACTGTATCCATGACACGGGGACCTCACTGTATCCATGACGCAGGGACCTCACTGTATCCATGACACAGGGACCTCACTGTATCCATGACACAGGGACCTCACTGTATCCATGACACAGGGACCTCACTGTATCCATGACACAGGGACCTCACTGTATCCACGACACAGGGACCTCACTGTATCCATGACACAGGGACCTCA